ACCTGGGGTCTCAGAGGTTTGAACTGCAAATCGCGCTGGAATTCATGTTGCAGTAAACATCAGTTTTGGATATTTATCTATTAGATTTGGTGCATTTCTTTCAATAATTAAGGGCACTGGACACAATCCTCCTCCTGTGTCTGCCCGCAATAAACCTTTGACGTGAGTTGGAGTGAAAGAAACTACCCAAAGGCTAGTAGGGTAAGACTAGAAGCTGACTCTCCCCAGTGCTAGAACAACTTCTGAATCAGTATATCACAATGGCTCTCAAGTTTGTTGGCACTGTTTATGAAACTTCCATAAGGAGGCCATCACTGAGCAGAAAGACACTTTTTGCTTATTCACAAAGTTGGCAAGTGTGTCCCTGAGTCACTTGTGTTCCTCAAGGCTAACATGACACATCCAGGAATAACAAGAACAGTGTGTCACTCAAACTTACTTCAGGCAGAGAATTTTAACCAGAATTTTAACCATGGCTTGTTTTAAGGTTGCTTATTGCAACATAGTTTTGTGTGCTGCCTCAGAAAAAAAAAATTGAGACGCCACTGCTCTTGGATAGGTAACCATACCACCCACGTTTGCAAGAATGTCCATGGCCAAATTCCTGCAAAGAAAATAACTAGGTTTCTTTTATCCCAAGGGTGTCAAACTTGATTTCATTGAGGGCTGCATAAGGGTTGTGTTTGAGGGCTGGGGTGGGCGTGGCCAGGGTGGGAGTGGCCAGCTCGACATAACTCGTGTCGGGGACACCTGTGGTGGCCCGAGCATTCTGCCAGCGAAAATGGGCTCCCAAACTCTGTTTTCGGCTGCGACGGCCTCCTGCAACCCTCCTCCAGCAAAAATGGAGCTTGGGAGGGCCGTGCGTGGCGTCCTTCACTGTTACAGGGTGGCCCCATGGGCCAGATCTAAGCACCCCATGGGCCGGATCCTGCCCATGGCCTTAAGTTTGACACCTCTGCTTTATCCCATCTGGTGAGATTCTACCTCCACTTGGCTCTCAACCTCCAAAATATAAAAAAATAAAAGTAAGATGAAAGGATCCGCTGGTGAGCCACTAAAAGGAATGCTAGGAAGAGGGCAAAGAGGTGTGATTTTCCAGATTTTCTGCTGGGCTTCCATGGATAGCTCTCTCACCCATGATCCTTGGGTGAGAGAGCTATCTCACAAGCACATTACATACACATATATTCACTCATTAAGTGTTTATACTGCTGATGACTTTAGTCTCCCAGTGATCAACTGTACAATATAAGCATAAACAATATAAATTAAAGTGAATAAAGATAAGTTAAAATCATGTTTGTTTTTAAAATATTTTAAGGACTTTTTAAATGCCTACAAAGCATTTAAGATTTCGTGACTAATTTCAAGTTTGCAATACATTTTGTCAATCAGAAATATCACAAACCCTATTTCCAACTGAACTATTCCAAAAGCCAGGGAAAATACTGACCAAGTTTTAACAAAAAACCTACCAAGGGGCAACAGTTTGCAATTATGAATAAATGAAAGAACCACCCAAACTTCTACATTAACATTATTGTTCATTATTATTTAGACTGATGCATTAAAAAGGGATACACACAGTGTGAAATATTTTAGAAAGTCCCCCTACCACTCTCGTTGTGCTTTCCCTGTGTTCTAGTAATGCTGCCAAAAGACAGAATGACTCAGACTTTTGACTCATCTCCTCCCATCAGTGTTATCCTCAGAATCACTCACTGCTAGATGAGATCAGGAGAATCAGGAAGTGCATTTCTTTTGCTCTGTTGTGATCAAAATAGCTGAAGCCCATCTTGAAAGGTGTCCATTATGGAGCGTCAAGACTAGAAACCACCCTCTGCTCTATTTTGAAGACCAGGAGTTATAGATTTATGCCAGGTAGAAGGTAGCTGAGTTTATCTTGGCTTGTTTATTGGTTAAGGAAATCCACAATAGCGTCTGTAATAAGTCATGATGACAGCAAAGGAACATATGTGTTATCACACCATTGCCCAAAAGATTCAAGTTAATACTTGAATCATGACAGCTACAGTTGACAGCTTCTCAAATACATATCGTGTCCTTGTATCAGGAAATCACAATGGCATGTCATCATTTACCCATCACCCCTGCATGTGGAACTATCTAGAAATAGGATTGCTAAACTGGCACCTATTAAGTTTTTTAAAAAAAAAATGATTTTTTTTTTATTATATACCGTACTTTTCGGAGTATAAAACGCACCGGTGTATAAGACACACCTACCATTTTGGTGAGGAAAAGAAGAAAAAGAAGTCTTCCTCTGCCTCTGCCTCTGCCTCTGAACAATTTTGCCTCCTTGTAGCAAACAGCCTGCTTTACTTTCATTTTCGTTTTCAGTATAGCTTGATTAGCACAAGGAAAAAAAATCTGTTCCAGCAATTTACCTTTTTGGAGAAAGCAGCAGAGCCCTGTGCAAAACAGCTGAGAGCAAATCAGCTGAGAGTCAGGAGGCCGATCCAATCAACTTGTGCTAATTAGGCTGTGCTGAAGCTGAAAGGAGCTATTTTTTCTTGCTGTTTGCTTGCAAGGAGGTAACTGCTGTGAGGCAGAGGCCAAAAGGGGGGCAGTGGGTGGGCAAGGCTACATTCGGTGTATAAGATGCACCTAAATTTTCACCCCCTTTTAGGCGGGAAAAAGGTGCATTTTATACTCTGAAAAATACGGTAAGTGCATGAATATAAAACCAGGGTTCACCATGACATACAAAATAGGATAACTTGTTTGTGACTTAGTTTATCATAAGAAACTGACTGATATAATTAGTATGCCAAAATTTGTGGATGAGTGTATTGGGGGAATCCTATAGGAGTGACTTATTTAGTTAAACTATAAAAAAAAACAAAAACAGAGCACAGTTTAGCTGTTTTATGAACAAAAAAGTTATAGGATACAAAAATTTTGTCCAGTTTATAATACTTTGTTCTTTACATACAGTAGTTTATACACTGCTCAAACAACTAAAGGGAACACAAAACTACTGTATGTAACGAACAAAGTATTTAATAAGGCTATTTCATTCATTCAGATCTCGGATGTCTTCTGCTTGTGTTCCCTTTATTTTTTTGAGCAGTGTATACACACACACACACACACACACACACAAATGATAGGATCCCTTTAATTCTCAGATTTAGGAGAGGACTAAGCATTAGATGGATTATGTGGCACAATGTTTCTCTGCCAAGGGTCATAATTCACTAAGATCAAAATTTTCACATCAAGATGGATGTAGATCAGTGGTGGGTTGCCTCCGGTTCGGACTGGTTTGCAAGAACCGGTAGTAAAACCGGTGGGAGGTCCCACCCACCGCCCCGGATGTCGTCATCAGAGATCTGCGCATGCGCAGAAGCTTCTGCACATGCACAGAAGCAAGGCGTGTGTGCTTGTTTCACTCTTGTGCGCGATCCTGTTGCAAACTGGTAGTAAAGGTAAGTAGAACCCACCCCTGATGTAGATAGTTGTAGATGGATGGATGGATGGATGTAGATGGTTTCTTAATCACAATTATACTAATACACATTCATGGTGGAGAAATGTCTTTTGGATTCAAAATAGTTAATAGTTGGTTACGATCAGATACTTGGCTTTCTGCTTTAAGAAACCAATTTGTCTTTCCTTGGCTCAAAGCCAGTAGTCAGCTGTTTTACATTGTTTTCAATGGTTGAAAGGGTAATTCACCTTATATACATCAGCATGATCATATGATTTTGTTTCTTATCAGTTTTTGTTTGTTATATGGTAGGGAGAACTCATTATAATGGTCAGAAATATAGTTATCCATACATAAGTTCTTGTTCTATTGGTGTCTTCAATTATTGTAATGGATCTGGCTTGGTCAAGGAAAATTGGTGACACAGAGATGGTGTAGTCTGGATGTTAGCCAAAATGTCCTCATCCTCTTTTTCTAAGCCTCAAGACTTGCCATTTTGAATATTAATACCATAAAAGAGGGTTAATCTTTTAAAAGTTCAGCTATGGTATCATCAGGAAGATGGTACTTAATAAAACTAAAATAATTATACCAGAGAAAGAGAATGTTGTTTCCTCGATATAATAATTTTATTTTATTAATAAATAACATGAATAGCTACCCATTATATAAGTATATAACTTACCCATATTTTAATATTAATAACTACCCATATTAATTATATTAATAGGTAAAAGTTCCCCTCGCACATACGTGCTAGGCGGTGCTCATCTCAGTTTCTAAGCCAAAGAGCTGTATAATGACAATTCTGTCGTCATGTGGCTGGCATGACTAAACGCCAAAGGCGTATGGAACGCTGTTACCTTCCCACCAAGGTGGTCCCTATTTTTCTACTTGCATTTTTTATGTGCTTTTGAACTGCTAGGTTGGCAGAAGCTGGGGCAAGTAACAGGAGCTCACTCCGTTATGCGGCGCTAGGGATTCAAACCGCCAAACCTTTCTGATTGACAAGCTCAGCGTCTTAGTCACTGAGTCACCACATCTCCCAATTATCTATATTAATAGCTACCCATTAATATACACTGGGTAGTTTTTTTTTAAAAAAAGTTTTCCACCAGAATTCATAAAAGTTCTTGAAACTATTTTCGCTGGTTTTTTCCCCAACAACGTTTAGAGAAGCATTAAGTTGAATTTCTTTTCTAGCACTTCTAAATCCTGCAGTCTGTCTTGTCTTACTTTTCCTTAAATCGTTTTTTGTAAAGCCAAGTTATCCATTCCCTCCCTTTCTAAAACCCAAAGCCCTTTAGATGCATGGAATGCAATGCCTTTGATTTGTACTTGCCAACAACTATTATAATAAATACCTCTGGGTGCATCCTTTTCATCATGGCTGCATTCCAAAATAACACCACCACCGCCTGTGAAATTACTCAGGCAGAATCCTTCCTTTATGCTTACTAGCTATTGCCTTGAATGAACTAAACTTCAAAAGTTGCTATTGAGACATGCATATAAAATCTGAGGAAAAAAAAAGACAGATGCCATATACATTCTTCATGGACCCATTCCATTATAATTTTATTTTGTTTATTTACAGCATTTAAAACCCTGGGTGGCTACCCATCAAAAGTTAAGACAGCGTTATAACCATATTAAAACTAAATACATTAAAAACAAAAACCTGGCACCAAGTCAAACTTCTAATGTGCAGTCAGCTCATTTTATTTGATTGTTTGTGGGGAGGGGAATAATTTTCTCCCATTTTCTAAAAGAGAGATGCCTGGTGGGCTGTTGGAAGAGAGTGTTCATGCAAGACAATATTATGAAGAAATGGGGTAAGAAAGAAGGCATGTTTTGTCACTGGAAGCTCTTGTTTGCTTCTTCTTTTTTGGGAAAAAACCCTTGGCAAGTTAGAAGTGCCATTTTCTCATTTCAGGGAAAGAGCAACTAGTAGAAATGATACTACAGCATAACTGTTTCAACTGAAAAACCAGCATTTCTTTCCCTCAGTTCCAGTATCTTTGCTTTATATTATAAATGAATATTACGTATCAGGTGAACCGAGAAAATTGAATCTAATACTTCATATAATATAGATATAGGCTGTCTTGCACATATACTAAAAATTTAACACTTTTCCCCAAATTTTCTTCTTTTACTTTTTTTTTCTTTCTTGGTAAAACACAAGCAATAATAAAACCATACACACATGCTTTAATGGTATTTCAGCCAGTCATTAAATTTGTAGGCGTAAGATTTTTTCTACAATTTATTGCTTCATTTATTTTACAAAAAGGGGTTTAAATATATTAATAGTGATATATTTAAAATATCTCATAAGAGATTACTCTTCCTTCTAATATTCTTTTCTATGTATTTAATAAATACCCCATATAAAATACATCTTTCTTTTATTTATGAAAGAGGTCCAAGCTGTAAAATTCCGAACATTATTGCCATCCTATTTTTAACAGTTATCTAGTATGGTAGTATTTTTAATAGGAGAGTATAAATGAAAAAAAAAAAAAAGATAGGCATACAAGATATGATACCAAGAGAATATTTGTAGCTCAGGGTTGACATGAAGGGTCCATGAGCTTGTTGTTTTCTCGCAGATGTTTCATTATCCAAACTACCCTGTTTCCCTGAAAATAAGACATCCCCTGATAATAAGCCCAGTCGGGCTTTTGAGTGCATGCACTACAATAAGCCTCCCCCCGAAAATAAGTCGTCTCCACAAATATTTAAACAGAGCTGGAAATCAGGTAAGACAGCAAAAGGAGCCCCATCTTGCTCCACGCACCCCAAAATAATAAGACCTCCCCGAAAATAAGGCCAAGCACTTATTCCGGGTTTCAAAAAAATATAAGACAGGGTCTTATTTTCGGGGAAACACAGTAGGTAATATCATCAGTGCTAGTAAGGAGTGGGCTTTGCTCTCAATTTATATTCTAGTGGCTTCCCCTGTCATTGTTTATGAAGATTCTCAATCATTCAGGTCAGGGTTATCCAAGATCCTTTTTCAAGAGGCAACTGGACTTTCCTTGTTTTTCCTTGAAGATGTTTCACTTCTCATTCAAGAAGCTGAAGAACTGAAGAAGGAAAAACAAAGGAAGTCCAGTTGCCTCTTGAAAAAGAACCTTTGGGTTATCCTGTCAGTGTTAGTGGAGGTGGTCTTGATGGCTCTTTGATTGGCCTGTTTACTGTTAGCTTGGTAATACCTCAGTCAAGGAGCTGCCAAACAAGCTAACAGTAAACAGGTCAATCAAAGAACTACCCAGACTATTCCCAATAATGCTGACAGGGCACTAGAATATGAGAGCAAACCCCTTTCCCTACCAGCTGTTGATGTTACCTAGTTGGAGTAATGAAAGGTCTGGAAGAAAACACCAAGCTCAGAGAGCATCAACATATGCTTGGATAACTTCAATACTTTATATCCACTTACTTATTCCATCAAGGTAGTTCAGAATCAGAGTCTACAGATCTAGTATGCCTGAAGCTTCTCAAAGTAACAGTTCAACAGTCTATGTAGTCTGAAATAATTTGAACTGGTTTGTTTGGCTGAACTGGTTTGTTTGGCACCACCACTCTGAGAGCAGCCAAATTAGCTGATCTTTGGGTGATGAAGTAACAATATGACAAGACTGGAAGGTTTAGAAAGGTATTAGATGTTTTCAGTTTTTGTAATGGAATGTGTGGATGATCTTGAGGGGCAAAAATGAAAGAGATGCTGCCTAAGAAACAATCAGACAAGAGAGGGTGGGGCCTCCAGGAGCTTAATGGTAAGAGAAAGAAATGTAGGAAGAATGCACCCTAATTGATTAGATGATTAAAAGTGGCAGCAGGAAATTTGTATCTTCAGACTTGCAAGATTCTGTTAATGCAGCCTTACAATAAAGTAAATTTAGCTCATCTCGTCATGTTTGGGTTACTCAGGATTTCCAATGGGTTCCAACTTTCCATGAAAGGTAGTAGAAATAACCCCTTATCTGATTTGAATAGTTAAATTAGATCAAACTAGATTAAATTAGACTTTACTCCATTTCTCACTCCAAATTTTTTTTAACTCGTTTTTTTCTATTTAGCTTCTCAGAAAGCTTGTTCATGACGTTTTCTTAAGAATAGGTCAGAAATCAGTTCATTCCAGGCAAAAGAAAGGAATATGTATGTAACATCATTTCCCCATGCCTCTCTGGCCATCATGGTAATATTTAATATCGTCTCTCTGCACAAATGAGATATGGATGAGGTTGCAGTGTCATGCCAAATTTTGGCTTAAGGTTTGGAACCAAAGCACTAGGAAAATGTAGATGAAATCTTTGAAGTAATGCTGTAAAAAATAAAAACATTTCCATTCTGGCCAGCTGCTCTCCTAAACAGTGTCTTCGTCCTGAAAGGAAGGGATGGGAAGACAGAGAAAGTGTTTGTTTTTTTTAATCAAGAACTACATATGAAATAAAGCAAAACATAAGAGGCCCATTTTAAAAAAACAATCACATTGATAATGAATTGATCTACGCCAAATACAGTATGTATTTACAGTTTGAATCTATGTGTATTTATGGATTACTCTACATTGAAAATAGGAGATCAACAAAAGCATGTTTTTGAGTAAATAATTATTGATTTTTAAATTACGTATAACTTAAAATTATTTATTCCTTATAAAATAGAATTTTCAAAGATATGTTTCCCAGCTACTAATTTTGGAAATGCTTTCCAAAGATAAAATTAAAAACTTGATTTTTTAATTAATAGTATAGAATTCATTTTACATCGTATTTTATTTCAGCAAGTCATTGATAATTCACTATGAAGATAATCCATTATTGGCACAGCACTTTAGAAGTTTTACACAGGAATTTCAGCAGTCCTTATAGATTGTGATAATTGATAAGGAAATTGGTATATATTGCATCTTTGGAGAGGAATGCCCCATTGATCAATGTTTGGTTCAATGTTTTTTCCCCATAATAAATCCAGCTAATGTTTTACCAATCAAATAAGCATGTAACATTAAGAACGTGATTCAATTCCCATTGTTAACTGACAGTTTTTTATCCTAAAATTCTGGGAGGTTAAAATATAGCCCATTAAAAAAGAAAGGGTTTGTTTGAAAATTGATATGACTGAAAAACTGAAAAAAACCAGCTACATTGAAAAATTGAAAGTGATTATCATTTGTTATATATACCGTATTAACAAACAAATCTTCCCTGGGAGATTAGTTTTACCTATACAAATTCATTCTGGATAAGAATCCTGAATATTAATCTTTAAAATATTTGTATTTCTCTGTACAATCACACACATACAAACACAGAGAAGCAAACCTTAGGCATTTCCAAAATGTTTATTCTTTTTCCTTTCCTTTTAACACTGTCCAAAGCTTATTTTTCTTTTTAACTGTTTCTAACTCAGCAACACACCTGCCACAAGGCCTACAAGATTTCATTTCTGGAATATCCTTATGATCTTCTATCTGTTTCTACTAAGCAGACCCTACTTCATGCAGAGAAGAGCAATGAAGAGGATTAGGGGACTGGAGGCTAAAACATATGAAGAACAGCTGCAGGAACTGGGTATGTCTAGTTTAATCAAAAGAAGGACTAGGGGTGACATGATAGCAGTGTTCCAATATCTCAGGGGTTGCCACAAGGAGGGAATCAAGCTATTCTCCAAAGCACCTGAGGGTAGGACAAGGAGCAATGGGTGGAAATTAATCAAGGAGAGAAGCAACTTAGAACTAAGGAGAAATTTCCTGATAGTTAGAATAATTAATCAGTGGAACAACTTGCCTCCAGAAGTTGTGACTGCTCCAACACTGGAAGTTTTAAAGCAGATATTGGATAACCATTTGTCTGAAGTGGTGTAGGATTTCCTGCCTAAGTAGGGGGTTGGACTAGAAAACCTCCAAGGTCCCTTCCAGCTCTGTTATTCTGTTTTCATTTTTCAGTTAGGCACTGCCACCAGCTGTGTTATCCCGATTCCTCAGATTAATAAAAAAAAATTGCCCTTTATTTATTAAATAATTTATTTATTAAATAAATTTATTAAAGCAGAATATTTAAAGCATGTTACTGTTATATATTATATCACATTTATTATGTAATTTATTCATCATCTGGATTTATGGACACATTTTTTTATGCTTACCTAGTGAAAAAGGAATAAATGCTTCTTTCTTGACAAACTGTCCTGAGTTGTCCAAAAATCTTTCAGGACAAAACATTTCAGGGTTATTCCAGTATTTTTCATCAAAATGTACAGAATAGAGATTTGTGATTACAGTAGTGCCTTGAGGGATAGAGTAACCACGGACAACTGTATCCTTAGAAGTTGCATGAAAAATACCCAATGGAACTATATTACAGAACCTTAAAATTTCATGTAGCACTGCTTCCGTATATGGCATTTTACACTTATCCTCTAGACATGCTGTTTTGTTGGGACCAATGACTAAGTCAATTTCTTTATGCACTTGTCCTGTTAAAAGAAAAAGCTTTTAGACTGTATGTAAGCATCTACATTATGTGTACACATAACATTTGTATTTACGTATGAAATTTCAATGTAAGCTTAACAAAGGGTTTTTTTTTTATTGTCACTTGAACATTTGTGGAGTATACAGAACTGTGTGACTGCTATTTCTGTTACTTTTAAGGCTCTTTCTTTCTATTCAGGTATGTATATAAATTCTATATAGATTATATAATCAACCTGAAATATAATCATGCATTTGAAAATTCAGAAATGTTAAAGACTTCAGACTTGTTTTATGTTCTTGTGTTAATAAAGTCTCTCTACAAACTCAGTCTTTCTGATCCCTAGCTCCCTGATACTTTTAAGTAAAGATTTAATGGAGTATCCTCTGGAATCTTTGAGTACAAAGTAAGTGTTACGTCATCAAGCTATGAGTTTTCTTCCAGTTCCTATATTAAAGAATTATTGCACAAGGGACTGTAAGCTCATCCACATTTTATCTTGGGACTGAAACAATGTCCATTCTCATATTACTTCATTAAAACACATTCTGTTTAATACAGTAGTAACTCCGTGTTGTCAGTCTGGTACACCTCTCTCTATCTCATTATTTTGATTTTTTAATTTATTGACAGAAGTTTCAACACAATGCTTTAAAAAGCCATTTCTTATTACTTCACAAATATATAAAACTGTATATTTTATTATAAAAAATGTTATTTAGAAGAAATCGCTTCAAGCTATTTTTCATACAGTAATTGTATATATCATAGGAATCCCTAAGCAACATCTTGTCTATAAATATTGTATTTAAGTAATATTAAAAACAAAATTTATGGCATGGTTGATATCCACAAATACTTTCCCCAACTAAGGTAAACAACTTTAAAGGGGTCTTATGTTTTCAACATTTTTTTAGTCCTAACAAGTAAAACCATCTGACAACATATGACCTGTGCTCTTATAACAGTCCACAGGTTTTCTTTAACATTTCAAATACTTCATAATCTCTTAGCCAAATTTGATGCTTCCTGATAGATTTATTCTATAATCTAATATGGATTATAATTCTATATTCCTTCTGTCATATAATTTTGTATATTCTTCTTAGCATATCAAGAAAGAAATACAAAGTTGCCTACATAGCCAATCTGCACCCATTTTGTGCTTATCAGAATTTGTTTTGCAAAACCTGTCTGTGATGGCGAATCTATGGCACGTGTGCCATAGGTGGCACGCGGAGCCATATCTGTAGGCATGCGAGCGTTGCCTTAGCTCAGCTGCACTATGCACGCACACACTGGCCAGCTGATTTTCAGGCCTTTTGGGCCCACCAGAAGTCAGGAAACTGACCTTTTGGGGGGGTTGGGGAAGGCTGTTTTTGCCCTCTCCAGGCTCCAAAAAAGCCTCTGAAGCCTGGGGAAGGCGAAAAAGGGGTCTACCCCGCCTACCAGTAACCTTTTTGCCATTGCGTGCTAAAACGGGGGGGGGGGAATGTGGAGGGGTCGCGTGCGCATGCATGGGGCGCAGGAGGGCATTCAATTATGGGTGTGGGTACACTTGCATACAACCCCCCCGTGCTCCCCCCACTTTTGGCACGCAACGGCAAAAAGATTAGCCATCACTGCTATATGTCAAGGTAGGGCAAGAAGATATATATAAAATATATCAAGTTCAGTATACAAAGCCAATAATTTATGTCAAATAATATTAATTGCAATTTATTCTCCAAAATACTAGTAGGAACTGATTAATAGTAGCCAAAGAAGCCCAATTTTCTCATCAAAATAACCTCACCAGTGCAATAATTTGACATGTCACTTTTTAATATATCATCCAAATTTCAGTAATTTTAGGGGGGAAACCCAAATCTTTAATCTCAATGTGGGCTACAGTATGGTTATAAATTCTATTAAAAGATGTAGTAGAAAAATGATGTTCTTAGTTATCATTACATGCAAACTTCTCATCATAACAACTGCATATTACTTACCTTGGATATTAGGATAAAGAGCCATGAACAAGACTGCCCATCTTAGAACATTTGTTGTAGTTTCTGTTCCAGCAATTATAAGTTCTCCAACCGAAAAAATTAAATTATCCATTGAAAATACAGATTCAGGATCATTTTTATTCTTATCCATTTCATCTAAATATACATCTACAAAATGTCGAGGTGCTTGAGGCTTCCGGTTCCGAGAGAAGCGCTGAATAAGGTGGAGTAAAAAAGTATAGACTTCAGCCGCATTTCTAAAAAGTTGTTGATGTTTTCCAAAGGGCAAGTTTCCAATCCATGGGAAAGCATTGTATAAAAATACAGAAGCGCTGGCAGCCAATTCAATATTTTCACTGAATATTTCCATCATATGCTGAAATTCAGTGTCTTCGTAGGTAAATCGTTCTCCAAAAATAATTAAGTTGGTAATGTTTGAAACTGCATTTGTTATCAAGTACTTTAGATCAAAAGCCTTGCCTTTGTAAGTATCAATGGCATCAAGAAAAATAACCGATTCTTCTGCTATTTTGCTTTCAAAGGACTTTTGACAATATCCAAAATTTCGAAAGCTAGTTACTGCTAATTTGCGATGCTCTGTCCAACCTCTGCCATATCTTGCATTCAGCAAACCTGAAACATGCAACATATTTATATATTTAACTCCTATTTAACTCATAACTCATAATTATTTGTTATACATTTATTTTATCATTTATTACCTTTATTTTTTCAGACATATTTTTTTTTGCCAAAAATAATAAACTAACTATTGAGAACATAATTTCTATGTTTTGATTCAAAATTAAGTGCATAAACCATATTATTCTACTCAACGACTCAATTTTTTGTATCCATCTTTGTATCTACAAGAAAGTCATCACCTCTGGGTAGAGGAAAATGGGCATCTTTAAGCAGTTACCATAACAAATTTATCATAAAGTCCCCCCCCCCCCAAAAAAAGGACACTTTCCATGAAGAAATCTCTTTCATTAAATAATTATGTTAAACTATGTCTACAAGGTAGTCCTATTAAAAAAAATAAAAAAGCTATACAGGATCATATGGAAAAATGCATGCACCTGAAACACCACTTCTAATCAATTAATTCACAGGAAGACAACAGTATTAAAATCATGCATTACCATACATGGCATCTATTAAAAAAAGAAAAAGTAGATTCTACTTGAGGACTAATTAGAGAAGAGTTTCTACACTGATGTTCTTATAAAACCTTATAGTGAGATACCACATATACTACGGATTGCAGTTTTGGTCATAGTATCAGAAATAACAAAACAGCCTGAAGAGTCTGTTTTGTTATTCATTTTTTGATAAGACTATGTGTTTGCTTGCCTTAACTTTGGTTTCTTTGTATGAATCCACAACCTACCCAATCTGCTAGTAACCCTTTTGGGCTGGCCCAATTTATACAACTTTGTGACTTGTATATGACTCTAATTTCCTGCTGTTTGTCCTCAACATCTTTGTTCCTCTTTTTTCTTCATGATCATCAATTTGTTGCCTTTTGTACTACTGTTAAAGACAGTAGCTTTTTGTTTTTTGTGGTTTGACTTCTGGTATCTCTGTCCTTTGGGCTATTTTGTCTTAGGAATCCTTAAATTGTTTTCCGTTTAAGCCCAACAGCCCAAAGGTTTAAGGTGTAAAGACCTCAGAAGGATGGACAATGTGTGTTTAGGTTGACAGTTTGCTTACTTTCTAAGCATAACTTGGGTGCCAAGTTTGACATTTTATCCCTCTAATCTATCTTCACTCTCCACCTATCCACAGGATTTTAACTTTTAGTTTTATAGTTTTATCAAAAGTATGTGAGTTAGGTTTCATATAATCTAGCTAACTTTTCTTTTATTCAATATATGTTATGAAGTTTGGGGAATCATGTGTCTGTTCTGCCCCAGCTAGGGACCCCAAAGGACGCAGCACACACAAAGTCTGTACAAACCTTAGTTTACTAAATTAAATAAGGGTTTTTTTTCCAAACAAAGGCTGTTGATTAACTTTCTTAACAGCCTACAAAAATTAAAGAATAAATAATCTTAATCTTACAATAATTGGCAGAAAGCCCAGAAACAATTTGCAAAGAACGAAGATCAAGGCACGAAGGAGTGTGAACAAGTTGTTCCCTGCAAATTGCTTCAGTCAGCGTTCCTCCTTAAATAGGCTAAGGGAGTGGCCAATTAGCCCCAAGCCTTACTCTCCAGGAGACCTCCTCCTGAGGAGCCACTCCTGCCTTTTGGCAGCTCTGCGCACCCGTGCGTTGAGAAGAGGCTCCTCCTCTTCGTCCTCGTCACTTAAGGGAACTTCTGGAGGTTCTGAAGGCCCAGGCTGAATCCCCGCCTCTGGCACCACATCTTCTCCAGCCTCATTGTCCAACTCGAGTGCCAGCTGCACAGGCTGCTGGCGCAGCACCATACCAGCCTCCTCGCTGTCCGAATCAGCCACCAGCCGCACAGGCTGTGTACGGGCCACAACAATGTCAAAGAGAAGTGGGATGCAACACAAGAATGCACATCAGGGGTGAAATGCTCCCGGTTCAGACTGGATCACCCGATCCGGTAGTGATGGAGGCGGGTGGTTCGGAGAACTGGTAGCAAAAATCTCTGCCCCCCCCCATTGCCCAGCTGAGCTGTGCAATCATCAGAGGCTTTTTTTAATTTTTAAAAGCATTTTTTCTACAACCTCTTTGGCTGAAAAAATACTTTTAAAAGTAAAAAAAACAGCCTCTGATGATCATGCGGCTCAGTTGGAATCATCAGAGGCTTTTTAAAAAAAAGAAACCCTCTGCCGATCAGGCAAGTCAGCTGGGATCGTCAGAGGCTTTAAAAGCATTTTTTTTAAATGCTCAGCCGAAGAGGTTGTAGAAAAAATGGTTTTAAAAGTAGAAAAAAAAAAAGTTGGCCATGCCCACTCAGTCATATTACCCCTCCCACCAAGCCACACCCACAGAACCGGTAGTAACAAATTTTACATTTCACCACTGATGCACGTGCCCTACAGATATGTATACATTGTTATGGAATCATATTTGGGATATGTGGACCTACTTGAGACTCAAGTCAAGAATCAACTTTCCTGGCCTGGGAACTCCAACTGCAGCAACCTCAACTTTCATTGTAAGCCTTTGGTCTAATTTGGCATCTCAAATCAGGGTGCAAACAAAATATATTCTGGTTTTTTTTTTTCAGAATAAAGATAAGATTATAGACAGATTTCAAAACAATTCTGTTATGCAATAAACTTTATAAAAAAAATCACCGATGACAACAGACATACCTCCCATTTTGGTCAGCTTCTTGAACAAAGGCAGAGAAGGCCTATCTGAAAAAACTTCACCTTGCTGAACAAGGCATTCTTTTATTGCATCATAGCCATTCAGTACAATAGTTGATATGCCTCCAAGATCAAGACTAAAGATCTTAAGAAATTAAAAAATGGCATATAAAAGATATGTTAACAAATATTCATTCGTATTTTCAAAATTCCATAGATAATTTCTAGAAACACTAAATTATTCAGCCAATCCTTTCTTTGCCTAAGATTGCTATCACCATACAAACACACTACACACAGTGAGTTTCCTATTTGTTTTTACCTTCCAGTAAAAAGTTTTTTGATTTTTTTCTCCCCCTCACAACTCTGTATCCAAGCTCTCAACTGGTTAAAATGTTCATTCAAAACATAAGCAGACAAGAAAAGCTGTTTGATCCTTATTGCATACTTTAACAGGTGTGAAAGAAAATAGGATTTTGTTTTTAAAAAATCTAGAGAACTCGGCAGCTGACAGTTTTAACTTTATACTGGACAAATCTGTTTGGAGGACAATTTATTGAAACAGGTGGTCCGTCTATAAGTGTTCTATTTTATTACTGAAATACTACACAAAGCAAACCATTGTCTAGTAAGTCTCTCATGTTGTGTACAGGCAGTCCTTGATTTACAACAATTCATTTAGTGACCGAAGTTATAACAGTATCCAAAAAAAGTGACTTATGACCATTTTTCACACTTATGACCGTTCCAGTCTCTCGGGGTCATGTGATCACCTATCAGTCAATGGGGAAGTCAGATTCACTTAACAACCGTGTTATTAAATTAACAACTGCAGTGATTCACTTAACAAATGTGGCAAAAAAAGTCGTAAAATGGGGCAAAACACACTGAACCAATTTCTCACTTAGCAACATAAATTCTGGACTCAATTGTGGTCATAAGTCGAGGACTACCTGTATAACGAAGCAAAGTACAAAGAAATTACATTCTGATATGTATGTACCAACAATTATAAAATGACATATTCAGAATTATGTCCTGCTGAACCAGCAAGTTAATTATATATAGACTATACAGTGTAGTACTGAAATTCCCTCTGCTCTTCGCCACCCCCAGCTAAAAGTCATAAAAATGTACCAAAGATCACGGACATAACAGCCTAAGCTTTTCTTTTCATTTTAAGCTTGCCCTTGCAACAACTGTTTTCAGCTTCGTTGCCCTGGGATAATAAGAAACAAGAAGCAATAATTTCAATAAAAGATCAGTAGCCCGATTTCTCCGAACATGCAAACCCAAACCGGGCATCCCCCGCTACGTTGCAAAACAACTCCCATCACCAGCAAAGTCAAAAGATAAGCAGGGATGGGAGTTGTAGTCCAACCTATGCGGGCGTGCAGCTGACCGGAGAAAGCTTGAAAAGGCTGTGTGATGCGAGTGGCGAACGAGCTGACGGCTCCCTTTTGATCTGCCACGGTCACTCCTTCCGAACCTACTTGCCCGTACAGCTGACTTTGCCTCTTCATGTAGACGTGAGGCTGCTCCGCGGCCAGGGAATGGATGCTGCCGATGAGAGGGAGCCCCGCCGGACCAGGCGGAAAGCCAGCGGGTCTCTTCTGCTTCAGCAGCTGCCTCACCACCAGCGCCAACACGAGGAAAAGGAGAGCCGCGCCGGTAACTAAACCCACCAGCAGCCCCTCGGACCGCATTCCTGCCTCCCAGCCCCTCCCAGCCCAGTGGCTAATTGTCAACACAAGAGTCCAACCTCAGAACGCCCTAGTGGCTTTCTTCCTTTTTTTATAGGAGGCCGGAACTGCTCGTCAAGCCGTTGGCGAGCCGGATTGGTCGGTTCTTCTCACTCGGTGGCGCTGCTTTCCCGCTTCCTCCTCGGCGTCCGGATTCCAAATTCTACCCGATGGAATTTCATCAAGCTGGGACATCTTAAGCCACGTGTTGCGCGGAGTGAAGGTCCCTCCAAGCCAATGCCAAGGCTACTCTCCCTCTGTCCCGCCCCTTTATTTTAGGCAGCGGTTTATGTAGCAATACGGCGTTGCCGAGAAAATAGGTTAGATAATAATTTAGATTAGAATTTATTCAAGCCAGAAGCAGAGATGCGGCTTCTTTGACGCTCGTTTTGAAATCTAGAGAGTTCCCAACAAGCTTCGCTTCTTTGGGCTTTTGGACGTTTCTTTCTGAAGTCTCTCTCTCAGGTGTCCCGAAGACAATGTGAAGAAAGAGCTTTAGGCAGCTAATAGTGGGATCAGTTTATGGTTGTGTGTTTAATTTAATCGTAGTTTTTTTTTTCTTTTTCTTTTGTGAGTTCGAAGTGGATACAAATAAATGTTGGCCCCTCGTCAAGAAACCATTTTAAATCGCACCATGCATTTAAAAAAAAAAAGTTTCATCTTTCAAACTTTTTCTTCTGCGGAATGTTATTTGCACAGCCTTGGAACAGGCTGTACACTTTTCAAGCCGAACACTTACTTTCAGTTCAGCCATAAAACACGTTATGAAATGTACACATAATAAAATATATTTCATCTATTGTGTGGGTAAACACCAGAAAATTCTTGTGTGAATTAAACATGCTAATTTTTTTTTAATTGTAAGGAGAACAGCTTAATGGCATCCAAATATGTTTTATTTAAAATATTAACGCATGCTGATATGATCTGAAATATTTACTCTTACCTTAATATAAAAAAGGGTGGGTTTTTTTGTTTTTACCTATTACTGAAAGAATTATAGAACTGCCACTGTAAATCTTTATAGAATACTGTCCTATGATTATTCTCTCTTTTTATTTCCTTTTGCTTTGAAAAATTACTGAAAGAGATTTTGGACGGAAAGGTAAATTATTCAGTTGTGCTCTTTAGATATTCAGGGATCATTTCCTCCCTTCCGCCCCAACCATTAGCTATTGACATGCTACTGTTTATTTATTGTTCTAAAATACTTTTGAGTTGAAGAGTTGCCAATCTATAAACTAGTCCTGTAATCAAGATTAAAGCAGTATCTGGTGCTCCAGATGTATTTTTTGTAGAAAGTCAGTTTGATTTAGTCTAGTGTTAAGGCACCTGGCTGGAAAGCAAAAGATTGTGAGTTCTAGTCTTGTCTAAGGCTGAGGTGGGCAACTATGGCCGTTTTATGACTTGTGGACTTCAGTTCCCAGAATTCCTGAGCTAAAATGGCTGGCTCAGGAATTCTGGGAGTTGAAGTCCACAAGTCATAAAAGGGCCATAGTTGCCCACCCCTGGTCTAAGGTATGAAAGCTGGCTAGGTAATTTTGGACCAATCACTCTGTGAAATCAGGTTTGGCCAGCAAACTGGTCAGTCACTTCGAGTTAAAAAACAGACTCTGCTAGGAAGAAAAAAAATTCTATTCTTTCATCAAGATTCTCCTATAGGGTATAGGCAAGGCATGGGGTAACCTTTGTTCTAAAGCTGTCCTTAACTTGGGTGTGGGAAGTGGATAACATTGGTTTTAGCAATGGTACAAAATAGGTGATGATACAAAATAGGTGACGATACAAAAATTTTGGAATGTGATACTCATGATCCATGGCATAATATTTCTGTTTTTGTTTCTGTTTCTGTTTTTGTTTTTTTAAAAAAAATATTTGATTCTTTTTTTGACATTATTCTTGATTTGCTTCTGAGATCATGATTGTAAAATAGATAATTATTTCACATGGTGCTGGTATCAGACAACTCTTGAAACATCACCAGTGGCAGTTACTAATTTGATGGGATATTTGGGCAATATTTCCCCAATCAGAGAAAATATTGCAGAAATATTCTATCAAATTAGTGATTTTTTAAATCAAATGTCACTCATGGGAAGCTATGCCTTGAAAGCTCAGAATGGATTCATCATAGAAGCATATGTTTTAATTTATCCAATTCACACAAAAGAAGGGATTAAGGAACATAAACATTCTAAACTATGGAAGTGCCCTGAGACAGGGACAAAGATATCTTATTTTTTTAAAGTTCTGATATGCCTTCCTGAAAAAGACCCATAGGTCAGAGTTGAATCTGGTGACAAGAAAGAGCTTGGCATTTAACTGGTGTTGAACTCTGAGAGAAATTAATAGAGGGAAAGAGTCAGAAGAGCAGAAGGAAATAATCAAAAAAGCTTCAGTCAAAAGGAAATGAAAAAAAGGGTGAAAGTAAAAGGAAGGGGAAAAAACTAAAGAAAAGAATGATAAATTAAACATTCTGAAGCAAGCTTAGAAAAGTCTACAAATGTTTTTAGCCAGAATAGCAACAATAAGATGTAGGCTTCTTTGGGTCACATAAACCAATTAATTTGGGAAGGGGGTGCATTAACTGTTGTTAGTTGCGAAGTTGTGTCCAACCCATCACGACCCCATGGACAACATTCCTCCAGGCCTTCCTGTCCTCTACCATCCTCTGGAGTCCATTTAAGATCAAACCTACTGCTTTAGTGACTCCATCCAGCCACCCCGTTCTCTGTCGTCCCTTTCTTCTTTTGCCCTCAATCTTTCCCAGCATTAGGTTCTTCTCCAGTGAGTCCTTCCTTCTCATTAGATGGCCAAAGTATTTGATGCATTAATTAGGTGAAAACATGAGGTTGTAAATGTTTGGAAAGAAAACAGGACCTAGGTCCAAGTGATTGAGCTGTCAGGTGTCATGACATTAGTCACCTTGGTAGACTACCTTGTGTGGTCCTTGATGGGGGACCACACCTTTCCTGTGCTATTTGTTCTCTTGACAGGAGTCTATAGACCAGGAGTGTCAAACTCACGTCGTCATAGCGTTGTCATGTGACGTACCATGACTTCCCCCCCCTTTGATAAACTGGGTGTGGGTGTGGCCAGCGCATGACGTATCTGGCCCATGAGCCGCGAGTTTGACATCCCTGCTATAGACCATAGCACAGTGGTGGGCTTCAGCTAGTTCGCACCACTTCGGGAGAACCGGTTGTTAACTTTTGGAGCAGTTTGGTGAACTGATTGTTGGAAGAAATCATTAGGGCAGAGAACTGGTTGTTAAATTATTTGAACCCCACCACTGCCATAGCATCTTGTTGGACTGCCTAAAGAGATGCAGATGACACTTGTACATGAAAACTTCAAGCAAGACTGGGAATGCAGTAGAAAGCTTGAACCGTGTCTGGAAGCCTGTTCAGAATCTGGATAGGGCTAAATTTGGTTAGGCTCAAGCAAAAGTGGAAATGCATTTCAGTAAATATTACTCATTGAATTTGTCAGCTAAATTTCATAATTGGAAGGGAAGGAAAATACCCAATTTCATATGAAACAAAAAAGGAAGGAAAATGATGCTCTAAAATGATTCATTGTATGTTTGCTTCATTTACTATTACTGCTTCAATAATGACTAATTATTACTCTAGAATTTCCCCTACTCTAATGAAAATTTTTAGTAACTTGAATGCTTGCTCACTGCTTTTTATTTCACCTAAATAGAAAATATTAACTTTTTATTATTTATGGATTTATTCCAATGGCCCAACATGGTGACAATCTGCAAGACCTGTTGGGATCAGACAGCATAACAAAATCAATAAATAAGTGAATAAAAGCATATACCTGTTTATTCAGACACTTTTTTCCTGTTTAACGTGATTGTTGCTGATGTGAGGTTTAATTTTGTGGATGTTATTTATTTTTTGTGTGTTTTTATCTTACAAGTTTTAATTATGATTTTAATAGCTACCTTGAGCACTGTTCCTAGTGGAAACCCAAAATGGCAATGTAATTAATAATGAAATGTAACAGAAACTGCAGGACAGCCATCCCCACCCCCAAAAGCCTCTTCATAGCTAGGTAAGTCACTGTTCCATATTGTGGTACACCAGGGGTGAAATGCTCCCGGTTCAGACCGGATCACCTGATCCGGTAGCGATGGAGGCGGGTGGTTCGAAGAACCGGTAGCAAAAATCCCTGCCCCCCATCCCTCCATGCCCAGCTGAGCCACACAATCATCAGAGGCTTTTTTTTTACTTTTAAAAGCATTTTTTCTACAACCTCTTTGGCCAAAAATGCTTTTAAAAGTAAAAAAAAAGCCTCTGATCATCGTGCGGCTCAGCTGGGATCGTCAAAGGCTTTAAAAGAAAAAAACCCTTTTTATCTTTTAAATGCCTCTGACGATCCAAGCTGAGTTGCCTGATCGGCAGAGACTTTTTTCTTTTAAATGCCTCTGCTGAACAGGCAACTCAGCTTGGATCGTCAGAGGCATTTAAAAGAAAAAAAGCCTCTGCCGATCAGGCAACTCAGCTGGGATCGTCAGAGCCTTTTGAAAGCATTTTTTTACACCCTCTTCGCCAAAGAGGTTGTAGAAAAAATGGTTTTAAAAGTTAAAAAAAAAATTGGCCACGCCCACCCAGTCACATTACCACCACCACCACCAAGCCACGCCCACAGAACCGCTAGTAACAAATGTTAGATTTCACCACTATGGTACACTATTTTGATTAAACATTTAAGAAATTTCATACACTATCTGCACACTGACAAAGAACTCCTACTGAAGGGATTAAATCCAACAGCAAAACTTTGGCGAGTGTTCATTTTCTCTTTTAAGTGCTTCCATAACCACATACAGATAGTCCTCAATTTACAGCAGTTCATTTAATGACTGTTCAAAGGTACAATATCACTGAAAAAAGTGACTTTTCACACAACCGTTGCAGCATCCCCATGTTCACATGATCAAAACTCAG